GAGACTTAGAGAGGTTAAATGACTTGCCAGCACTCTGTCCACTGCACCTGGCTCTCTGTCCAATCTTCACTTTCTGTCCTTTAAGATATAGTCAATATATTTTCTTTGGGGGGGGGCTGTTATTTTGGGTTTTGACGTGATGTAATTTTTCTTGAAATTATAACAATTTAAATTTCCTAGTTCCTTGTTACCAGGGGCTTCAGGGTGGATAGAACAAGGTTAAAAGGCATTCTATTTGTCTCTTGGAATTGTTCAATTTTTTTCCTCATCTGAGTGCTTGAAAGATGCTGTAGAAAGCATCCTGCCCCTATGGCTCCTTCTATCTTCCCTCTTTTCCTTCTCTTCTCTTTGGGGATGATGGCAAGGAAGGAAGAAGAAGGAAGGCTGAAGACTATTCCAGTTTGGTAAGTAAATGTGTGTGTGTGTATTTCTACACAGTGGCTGTGATAGCCTAGCTCTTCTCTTACATCAGAGGGACACAAAAGTTTACCCTTGAAAATGGGTGGAACTTCCAGCATGACATTCACAGTTGCTTGATCCTTGACACACAGGTTAGACAATCTGGCTGATTGATGCTTTGCAGCCTGCTGAACTATTAGGTCATACCACGGGGACACCATTCCTCAACTTGGTGAAATCGCATCTGTATAAGCTTGCATAGTCACTACCTACTTACGCAACTCCAAACATTATAATGTTCCTACTTGGGTTCATAAAAGAAACACACAGACAAAACCATGAGAACATCGCTCCTGCTTCTTTGCCCAGCCCACCATTCGTCCTGCCGGGCCATGGGGGCTTCACACACTGGTGGTCCTTTGACCTTTTGTCCCTGGGCCTCCGTTGTTTGTGTCCCTGCATTTCAAAGCCTTTCTCTGAAAGCCTTGCCTGGAAACCACTGCTTGGCTGGATCACACAGGAGGAACTCGACTCTGTAATTTTGTTCCTTTTAATACGACATGCCATCAAGTATAATACATGGGATATAAGCCTCAATTATTGTCAGCGTGCTTGGGGCCTCATACCAATTACAGTGAGATCTCTCTGACAGGCCGAGACAAGCTGCAGCTTGGAGCTCCTCAGCCACAGGAACAAAGAGGCTGCCTGCTGCCTTGAGGGGATCTTTGCAAGCTACATTTGAAATCCTGCTAATATCTGAACTAGGCAGTTTTCTCCTGTGGTTGGGGCAGGTCGTATGCTTTGATCAAGGACGAGGTGAATTTGTATCATTGTGATTTAATATATTTCAGATATACTAATTATAGTGAACTTGGCTTTCCCACCAATCAGTGGGAGGAAAGAGATCTTATTTCATAAACAGTTCACATACTAAAAGTATTAGCCTTTGTTACCTTCTCTAGCCTTGCTCTTAGCTCACTCCCTTGAAAATTTCTTCCCCTTTCCTAGGCTCTCTTCAGTCCTTCCCTTTCATTTCACTATTTCCCTTTGATTAATTATTATTTTACATATTAGTTCAAAGTGGTTTTCTTGCTTTCTAAGTTCGCCATGAATATGTAGACATACACGTGTATATGTTTGCACATACATGTACTTCCCTGTATACACACATATGTGAATATAGAAATCTGGAGCCCCTAACTAACCTGACTCATGTGGTTCTCATCCCCTGCCTCACTGGATCCTGACAGTCTGGGCCTGTTCACAGTTTCCCCCAGGCCTTAATAAAGAGCTTTTCACTTAGGTTTCTTTATTTGAACACAGCTCACTTCCTCCTCCTGAACCAATGAGTCATTTTCTCTTTTTAAAGCTAGCCTTAAGCTAAATAGAAATGGAAGGTTTTTAAATTAATCTCTGTGTGAAGCGCCTTGTGCCTTGTGTATGAAGGAGCCCGATGAAATAAAGGAGATCGGTTTAACTCTTCAGAGACCGAAGACCAGGAAGCCTGATCTGAGGACTTCTTTGGCCTTCCGGGCAGCTGGTCGAGTTCTCTGCTAAGGTAACACTGTCTTCAGCATCCCCAAAATGACCCAGTTCTTTCCCTGCTTTTCACTTCTTTGGTGTTTTGGGTTTTCAGGTTTTTTTTTATTCTGAATCTCACAGGAGGGCATGAGGGAAATAGTGGTTGGACAGATGTTTCCCTGGAAAGGATCTGGGGGCTGGAGAGGGCTCTAAATTCATTAGGAATCAGCAAGGTGATGTGGTGGCCAAGGAAACTCATGGGGTCTTGGCCATGGCTACCGGGTGGTGGAAGGAGATGGTGGTCCTGCTGTGGTCATCGGACCACACTAGAGTACTGTGTTTAGCTCTGGGCACCCACGTCCAGAGGAAGGCCATCAGAACGGTCACGAGCCTGGAGTCTGTGTCACAGGAGGGTTGGCTGAAGGAACAGGGCACACGAGACCCATCTGCAAGTAGTGGAAAGGCCGTCCTGTCAAGGGGGCATGAGATTTGTCCCGTTTGTTCCCAGAGGACAGAACAAGAGTAGGGGGGGAAGTTTTCAAACAGGAAATTTAAGCTTGATTATCGAGAAGAACTTCCTAACAACGCACCCTTTCCCATAACGGAAAGGGCTGCCTCTGGAGGCAATGGATCTCCCTCATGGGAGGCTTCTAAGCAGAAGCTGGGTGACCACTGGTTGGACATAGGATTCATACACCAGGCATCAGCTGGACTGGAGGTACACTGGGTTCCCTTCCAACTCTGAAATTCTGTGAAAAGTTCATCCTTTGAGAAAAAGATATTCACAATCAATATCACAGGGCCTTAATTGTGGAAGGGAACTTTACGCAGAGATCCACTGACCAGTACGAGGTGTAAAGAACAGTGTTCTTTATGGCCAGTGTAGAAGATAGCTGCCAGAAAGACTGACCCACAGAAGGAGAGATGAAGGGGATGGTTTCAGAGGAACCTGGGAAGACTTGTATGAACTGATGCAGAGCCAAGTGAGCAGAATGAGAACAATGTATTCAAGAAAAACAACACTGTAAAGAAAAGCAACCTTGAGAGACTGGGGAGCTCTGGTCAGTGCAATGACCAAGCATAAGGCCAGAGGACTGATGAGGAAACATGCTACCACCTCCTGAGAGAGAGAGGTGGGACAGCCAAGGTACAGAAGGATATATATATATTTTTTGGACAAGGTCACTGTGTGGATTTGTTTTATTTGACTATGCTTATTAGAAGAATTGTTTTTTCTTTGTATTTTGGGAAGGGATTTAAGGGGAAAGGGCCAACAAAATGAAGAAAATAAAGAAAAGAGGATCATTGAGGCATTTTGAAAATGCACACAAGAGGGACAGGTAGGTGGCGCAGTGGATAGAACTCCGGCCTTGGAGTCAGGAGGACCTGAGTTCAAATCCAGCCTCAGACACTTGACACTTAACGGTGTGACTTTGGGCAAGTCACTTAACCCCGACTTAACACCAAAAAACAAACAAACAAACAAAAAATGCACACAAGAGAACTGAAGTTCCCAAAGAACACAGATAAGCAGGATGGCTTTGAAGGTAGCATACTTCTAAAAAAGCAAGTGCACGTGAGAGATTTGTGTCTTCACATACAACCCTCTTTTTTCTGGTCTACTTTGCCTATGTAAATTTTCTTTTTTCTTTTGGTATTTGTTAAATTCAGAATTTTTAAAAAATATTTTCTTTGAAAGACCAAACCATTTCTGTACAGTTTATGGAATTCACAAAACCATATCAAATATCCTTTGAATACTTCATTTCATCTAGTACTTGCTAGTTTATTTTTTTAGCTTTGAAATGTCACTAAATGACCCAGAGTTGTATGGAATGCTAATTAAAAGATATATGTGAAATCAGGAAGGTTGCATAATTTTTTGTCAAACTCCCTTTATGAGAATTCCATCAACCAAAATAGATCACCTCCTCCATCCCCTACCCTCCACCTCTTCCCCCTATGACTTAGAAGTTGAGGAGGCAAAGAGAGGTCAGTGACTTTCCCAAGGTCTCATAGTCAGTTTCCAAGAGGAAAGACTTGAATTCAGTTCTTCCAATACACCACACCTCCGCATCCTTGGGACCCATCATGCTCGATTCTTAGCGTTGGCACCCAGACTGATGATTCTTCCCATGTTTATCCCTGCCTGCACGCTGACAAAGGCAGCACTAAGTAGTGGCTAGAGAACGTGACTTGGAGTCAGGAGGACCTGGGTTTGATTCCTGCCTCAGACACTTACCAGCTATGCTTAGCACAGTGCCTGACACATAGTTGGTGCTTAATAAATGTTGGTTGACTATGTGACCCTAAGCAAGTCACCTAATCTCTCAGGCTCTGTTTCCACATCTGTAAAACAGAGATGATAAGAGCCCCCATTTCACAGAGTATTTGTGGGGAATCGAATGAGATATGAAGCTCTTTGCAAACCTTAAAGAGCCACAGAGATGTGAGCTGGTATTCACTGAGGACCATTCATATGCCCTCAGTATTTCTGACTGCAAGCTGAACCAGTAGTAGTCCCACTATGTGCATGATCCTTCCAGGGCCTGGAGGTGGTCCTGGGCTCTAGAAGGCTCTGCTAGTGGAGGACAAGCTCTAGGTAAGGGGCTCTTCACCTTGTCTGTGTCCTGGCCAGACCCCTCAGGCAGGGACCCCTCCTTAGAATCATGGTGTTAAATGCATTCAATAAAACAGAGGATTACCAACGAAACCAATTGTATTGGAATATAATGAACCAAATAGTTTTTTAGAGAGCCCCTGGACCCCAGGTTCAGAACCGCTGCCCCAGAAGCATCTGCCAGGGCACACCTGGCGAGGGCCTGTCTGTCTGTGTATCCCCCGAGGACCAGCCGGCTGGAGCTGGCTGAGAGGCCCAGCAACGGACGGCAGGCTGACAGAGACCCAGCCAGACTGTCTGGAAAGTGAGGGAGGGGCATCCCTCCAGCAGCGAGCCCACCCATGAAATCACAGGCCTGCCAGGATGATGGACGGCGGTCAGCCCTATTGTTCCTCATTCTACCCACTCGCTCTTCCCAAAGTAAACCCCCAGGAGGAGAAGGGCCAAAGAAAGAGCTCACGTCATAGTCGCCCCGGGATCAGCTGTCATCTGATTGGTCACAAACACAGCCACGTTGTATTCTGCAAGAAGGAACAAAAAATAAAAACCTCAGGGAAGGGGCCAAGCCCCCGGCCACTGGTCACTTTCCAAGGCTTAGGGTTATTGTTTCTTGAGCTTGGAACATCAGCACCCCTCCCCGGCCTCTCTGAGGACACAGGACCGTGTTAAATGGGCTTATTCGTAAACGTGTCGCCATTGTATCTTCGGTGTTTATTTTAAGAAAGGTGCTCAACTCCTACACAGGAAATCTGGCTGTGGCACCATGAGCTTCCACAGAGAAAGTGGCTGCGGCGAGCCCGCGGGGGGTCCAAAGCTCTAAGGACAGGAAAGCTGAGAGGTTAGAGACAGTGGGGTAATCTCCCTGGGTTTAGGCTCTTACCCAACCCGGGAGAAATCTCCCTGGTGAACACATAGAAACTATCCCTCATCGGGAAGTATCCGGCAGGACCCGGTGGCAGTAGGGACCAGGATTCAAATCTCACGTAGGACACTTCCTACCTTAATTTTTCTGAACTGCAGTTTCCCCATTTATAAGATGGAACCACCCCACAGGGTTGTGGAGAGCAATCTGCAAGTTTTAAAGCACTGTGTACGCTTTTGTTGTTGAGTCATTTTTCAGTTGTGTCTGACTCTCTGTGACCCCATCAGGGGTTTTCTCGACAAAGATACTGGAGGGGTTTGCCCTTTCCTTCTCCAGCTCATTTTACAGATGAAGAAACTGAGGCAGGCAGGAGTAAGTGACTTGCCCAAGGTCACACAGCTAGTGAGTGTCTGAGGCCTGATCTGAACTGAGGTCTTCCTGACTCTAGGCCCAGAGTGTTAGCTATTATTATTGTTATTCTGGCAAGACACAGAATCAGAGCTTAGAGGTAATCAACAAAATAAAGTCAAAAGCACGTTATTATAAGCCAATGTTAGTGGTCATCATCCAGCCCCATCCTCTGACTGCACAGAAGAAGAACCAGGCCCAGAGATGGGGAGTGACCCGATCCATTTGGCCCAAAGGGTCGCTCACCTTCTGATATTTTCTGAAGTCGAGACAACATCTGGGCCAATTTCTGCTGCCGCTCCGCTAACTCGCCCCGGCCACTGAAATCCACACGGAAGAGCGCCATGACGGAATCAATGATCTGCACGGGTTGGGGGCGGGAAAGAAAGAATGAGCAGAAAGGGAGGAATGAATCCCGGGGCTGAGGGGCAGCGGCCAGTTCAGGGGAGAGCGGCAGGGCAGCCCATACCAGAAGCTTGAAGATGCCGGCCTCCTCGTGGAACTTGGCAGCCACGTAGTCCAACAACTCCATCTGATGCTCGCCTGGTGGGAAGGAGATGGGTGGAAAGTCTCAGAACCTAAGAGAGGCCCACTGCCCCCGCCCGGCCTGGCAGACCCACGCCAGAACTCTCCCCTCTGTGGAACAATGTCCCCCTCAGCCTCTGCACTAGCCACACATGCTGTATTTTTCAAAAAGAAGGTCAATAACTTGATTTACTACTTCAAGCGGCTGAAACCATTTGAGTGCCTTTTAGGATCCGAGGTTGGTCAGACTGGCCAGAAGAAGTGGGGGAAATGACAAGCAATCCTAACTGCTGAGCCAGCTTCTCTAGAAATAACTCACAAGCACCAAGTCAAGTAACAAACATTGTAAAGCAGCTACTAAGTGCTAAGCACAAAAAGGAGGACCACGCCCATTTCCACCCTGCTGGAACATTTACACAGCACTTTGAGTGCCAGGGTCCTTATCTTCCTCATTTGACAGAGGAGGAAACTGAGGACCAAGCCTGGAGCTGACTTGCTGGAGGCTGCTGAGGAGCACCGCTCACGTGGTCAATTAGTGGTGCCAAATCTGGAATAATAACAGCTCCCATTGCTCAGGGGCAGGCAGGCAGCCTGGAAGTGGGATGTCACTGTCACTTAGTGTCATTTGTGAAATCTCAGAAATGCAGGCCTGGGAGGGTCCTCAGCAGCCTCTGGCCTCCCCATTCCAGAACAGGGGTGCTGAGCCTGGGGTCTGGGGTCTGAGAACCTGGGTTTCTGACAGATTTTGATGGCGGGATTTCAATCCGGGGGGTCCCAAAGGTCTCTGTGCCGTTGTGGCCATGGAGGGTGAGCACTCAGCTTCCTCCACGTTTCACTGTCCATCCAGGCTCCGCCAGACTGACTGGGAAGGCTCCGTGACCCCTGAAGGGTCAAGAACCCCTGTCCTGTGGGGTCCTTACAAGTAGACATTCCACCTGTGTTTTAGGACCCCAATGAGGGGGAGCCCACTTCACCACAGGCAGGCCATTCATTCTGCTCTGGGACAGATCTAACTGTTAGGAAGTTTTTCTTAAAATTGTCTCTGTGCCCCCTCCCCCTCCAGATCCTCGTTCTGTCCCCAGTGGACAAACAGAACCGGTCTGCTCTTTAGCCGCCTTCTCACTAGCTGGGAGGGAGAGAGTGCAGGTATTACTGTCCTACAGCTGAGGATGCAGAGGCCCAGGGAGGGCAAGTGCCCTGCCCATAGTCACACAGCTCGTGCCTCGGGGAGATAAGGATCTTACTGGTATAAGCGCGGGCATAGAGCACGTTGTCTAGGACGGCATCATGGTCTACGTTAAAGCGGTCAGCGATGTCTCGAAGACGGTCTGGACGACTGGTCCAAGTCAGAATTAAGGATCCGGAAATTCAAGGCAAAGTGAGGCAGAAAGAAAATCTAAGTGGGTCAGAAAGGTCTGAGGTGACATCCAGAGAGAGTCCTCGGTGCAGGAAGTAGGGGGCCACCCGTCTATCTGAGAGTGCCCAAGGTCACACAGCTAAGGGTCAGAGGTGGGAGGTGAACCCAGTTCTCCTGCCTGTCCCTGAGGAACGGTCCTTCCTCCTGGCATTTTTGTGGGGTCTGTATTCACCAGTTTGACATCATCTGCACAGGCCACAAGGTGATGTATTTATGGCTACAAAGGACCTCAGAAGCCATTGAATCCAACTCTCTAATTTTTCAGATGAGGAAACTGAGGCCCAGGGAAGGTAACACAGATACTAAGTGGTAGCAAGGAACAGGGCTAAGACTCAGACTAGGGTGCCCTGACTCTGAGTCCAACGTTCTCGACACTGTTCCACTTTTGAAATCAGAGACCTCAAGCTGGACAGCCCCCCGGGAGTCAACTAGGCCAACCCCCCATTTTACAGGTGAGGAAACTGAAGGTTCAAAGCCGTGCCGGGAGGGCCCGAGCAGAGCCAGGTTTCCAAACCAGGCCTCTGCCTCCCCCTGCCCCTGCCACGCACTTTGGACTACACCAGGCTCTTCTGAGCCACACGTGACATCCACAGAAATGACCACCTGATGAGGTCAGAGAAGAGACAAGCATTTGGGGCCCTGTCAAGCTCCCTGCATTCAATGGAGAATTATTCTTGAAAACAACCTTGGAAGTCCACCTGTTGGGACAGAGGTTGTTCTACATTTTACCAGGAGAGAAACCAGGTCCTCCAATCAGAAATGTTGAAACTATGCTGCTGTTGTCATTCTGCTAATTCACATGAATAAATACCCAGCCTGAAGGTTTGCAGAATGGTTTGTCTGCATTATTTCATTTCCCCTCCTCTGTAAAATAATGGAGTTGGACAAGATGGCCTCTGGGGGCCTTTCTGTCTCTGAATCTCAGATGCAAAAGCCCCTGAGGTTGGGATGGCAGTTACAAGGTGCCACACGAGACAGGCCTGACTTTTCAATGGCAAAACAGGGTAACTTGTGGCTCTGAGGTTCACTACAGAGGCCCAGGACCTTTGGGTCTTTGGAAGGAGGAGGTGGGATGAGGCTAGGGCCTAGGCGTCTATGTGACAGGCGGCGGGGATGAGGGAAACTCCCAGATTTGCCAGAGCAGGTCCTCTCCCATGGATGTGGTCAAAGAACACAGGCTCAGCTTCGAGGGCAGCGTCCACCCACCTGGATACTGCAAATCTTTTCCATGATCACCGAGGTTACATCTGGAATGCAGTCCTACAGAGGGATGAGGCAGCCGTGAAAGGATCCAGGAGGGCAGGGGCAGGTGTGTGTATGTGTGTGTGGGGGCGGCGGGGGTCTTTGTTGCGCCTGATTTTCTTTTTTTTTTTTTTTTTGGCTAGGCAATGGGGTTAAGTGACTTGCACAGGGTCACACAGCTAGTAAGTGTTATGAATCTGAGGACACATTTGAACTCACGTCCTTCTGAATCCAGGACTGGTGCTCTATTCGCTGCACCACCTACCTACCCCCGCCTGATTTTCTAAAAGGTGAGTGAGAAACCTCCAAGAGGGCTAAGCCCTCTGAGGCAGTGACCATCTGCATCACCAAAGCCCAGAGCCAGGAGCACGGGGTGCCCACACTTGCCCCACCTCCTCCTGTGCTGTGCCTTCTGTCACTGAAACACAAATGTCCCAAGCTGAAAAGAGCACCTCTTCGGGGCACAGAGGGACTGGCGGGCATGGCCAGTGAGGACGTCCCCTCCTACCCCCTGTTATCTGCTGCCTGGAATGCTTGGGAAGATAACCAGTATGAGACATTCCCAACAAGATGCCCCCTTTCTCAGGGCATTCCCACCCTCCTGAATTACACCAGCATCCTGGTTAACAAAAGAAAAAAGGCTACAAAGTATTTTCCGTATCGATGAAGATCACCTTTCCTCCTGGGTAGCCTCCAGCTCCTGGAAGCTGAGCGGTCACTGGAGAACAAGAGAAAACAAGAACAAAGATGAACACTGGAGCAAGTCACACACAGACAGTTCAACGGCAAGCATGTGCTTTCTTTTTTCGGCGGAGGTTCACCGAGGTTCACTCCATCTCCTCGTTTCTACAGAGCAGGCCTTCTGTCGGCGGGCAGCATCCCGCGGGCCCCGGAAGGAGAGGCTCATCTATTTCGGTTCTCTGGAACAGTGATATTTTAACATGACTGATTGTCTATCTGTGAGTAATACTATAAGCTAAAATGGCGCCCTGAAACGGATCTAAATAGGGCAATTGATACAGATCCCATCACTCAGGGTCATCCTGTTGGAGCAGGCGCTTCTGCCTCCTTCCCTCTTACCTAGGAGCCTTCGGAAGGGGCCAAGGGGGTGGGGACAGAACGGGCCTCTGCCCTTGGCTAGGCCGGTTCTCAGACAAGACATAGAGAGTCTGTGGAGAGGACGATGAAGTCTCTGGAGCCTGGGGGAGGCGGGGGTAGGGCTTCCAGCAGCCAGGGTCACGTCACCCTCCAAGAGGGAGACTTCGGTAGAGGACATCAAGGATTGTGACTAAACCTGTGATTTAATCAGCAGAGGGGACTCCCAGGTGAGGACGCTCCCTCTTCTAAAGAAGATCTGCACCTTCTGGGCAACTTACTGTTTGAGAGAACTGTCTAGGGGCACTGGGAGTTAAGTGACTTACCCAGGGTCACCCAGTCAGCATGTGTGAGAAGCAGGACTTGAACCCAGGTCTTCCTGGACACAAGATCAGCTCTCCATCTACTATGTCTCTTTGCTGTGGTTGTCTAGTCTATTAGCCATATCCAACTGTCCATGACCCCATTTGGGGTTTTCTGGATACTGGAGTGATTTGTCATGTCCTTCTCCAGATCATTTTACAAAGGAGGAAACTGAGGCAAACAGGGTCAAGTGACTTGACCGTGGTCACACAGCTAGTAAGTTTCTGAGGCCACCCTTTAACTCAGGTCTTTCCAACTCTAAGCCTGGCAGCACTCTCTCCACTGCGCCACCTAGCTGCCCCTATGTCTCTTGGCCTCTCATAATGCATCTAAAGGCACCACTACAGTTTTAATTTTTTACAACAAATTTCTAATGTCCTAATCACTAAGACAAAGGGGAAAGATAAACTTAGAAACTGAACTCTATGTACTGAAAATAAAAACCACATATTTTGCCCCAAACTAGCACCCCCTCCAGACTCTCCTGTCTTGACCCAGGACACCAGTCTCTAAGGCCAGAACCCTTTGATTCATAACTGACATTCCCCATGTCTTCATTCTCTACAGAGTCAACCACAAGGTACTATCAGTTTTCCCTCTGAAATGCTTTATGTCTATCCCTTTTCCCATTTGCTCCAACACTACTGCCACCTCTCTTGTCCAGACTGTGATGGTTTCCCACCTGGGTTTCCCACCCAGCCCCAGTGCCGTCTCTTCAGCCCATTCTATATGCCCCTGGCAGATCAACAATCCTTAAACGCGACTTCTTGTCACTTCATTCCCCACCTCAAAAATCTAACTGAAGCAGGCTACTTCAGTAATTTAATTCTCCAAGACTTCAAATATTTCTAATTTCATCACTGTGAGTTCACCAAGGCTAATGACAGCAGGGGTTGTAAACTAGGTGCCTAGGTCATTGAGGAAGACAGAAAGGGGACATGGAGGCCAGCTGATGTCAGCGACAAGGTTAGGGACTGGTTGATACATGTCATGAACCTCAGAGAGGAGAGATTGTCCAATGATGATGGCAGAGCACAGGTGTAGACGTGGCTGTAGTGGGGGTGGGAGGAAGGAGGAACACACTTATCTTTCCTCCCAGACATGAGTCAGGGGACAAGAGAGCAGGAACACTTCTCTTCCTACTGGTCTTTGGGGAGGTGGGGAGAGGGGAAGGGCTGGGATGGGAGGAACAGCCACGACTAGATAAACTTGCTAGGGATGCAACATTTATGCAGAACCACCATATTTTCTGAATCCAAAACAAGGACTCAGCCTGACAGGGGATAGCGCTTTTGCAAGGTTTGTTTTCTTGAAATCAAGACTGTCCCGGATGTGGCAGGAAAGACAGCTACTTACCACAGAGGGTGTGAGAAAGCTGGGTTTTTCCTGTTCGAAATTCTGTGAAAGAAAGAGAACTAATGAAAAATGGGCATTTTTTTTAACCCCTAGAAATTTTTGCCAAGACTATAACATGAATATCATCACTGTTGTGATGTCTCTATCAACCCTCATTCATCAAAGGCCTTTTACAGAACAAATCCGTTTATGAAGAGGATTTGTTCTGTGAAGTTTGGATTCAGTCAGAGGGCCACACCTAAGGACCTAGAGGGCCACATGTGGCCTGGAGGCCACAGGTTTCCCACCCCTGATCGAGGCCATAGGACTGTAGAATGTTAGAGCTCAAAGGGACTTGTGAGATCATTGAATCCAATTTCAAATTTTGCAGATGAGAAAACTGAGTCCCTGGAGAATCTGGATCCAAATACCAGCCTTGCAGGCTACCTGCTTATTTTGGGTATTATTCTTAAACCTCTCAGGGCCTCAGTTTCTCATCTATAAAATGAGGAGTTGAAGTAAATGATATCTAATGTTCTTTCTGACCCTAATTCCTCTTAGCCTATTTTTAAACAAATGTCTTTTTTTCATGGTAATACACAGGACATAGCCCAGAACAGATATTTATTGGTTGATATATAATCAGTCATGAGATTCTTAGGCCGAAGGGCATGAATTTTTTTTAGTGACTTCATGTACTGCCAGACTGCTCTCCAAAAAGATTCTACCAATTTGCAATTCCACTAGCAATGTATGAGTGTGCCCATTGCTCTACTAGCATTGTTTTGTCATTTTCAGTTTTCTTTTAATTTGATTGGTATGAAGGAAGAGTGCAAAGTTATTTTAATTTCTTTGATTATTAATGAGATTATTATTGGTGTTGCTATATGGTAGCTATCAGGTGATATAACAGTCTCCAAGGAGAGAAAGGGAGAAACATATGGAGGGTATGAGCAGGCCCTAACATATGACCAAAGAGGAATTTCCAAGAATAGTAGTAAAAGATGTCATTGAGGAAATATAAAAGAAGATGGTTACACGGAGAAGGTGAGAGAAGACAGGAAGATAGTCTGAGTGCTCACTCCACAGGTGCCCTGTTGATATTAGGAGAAACTGAGGGAGGCACCCAGGATGTTGAGTGGACCCTCCTGTGACAAGTTGAGGAAACAAGAGATGCATAGGTTTGGCAGGAGACGATGGGTTGAGATCTATGATGTCGGATTTCCAAATTGATGAGATCACAGATCCACTTGAGTACTAGTGAAGCTAGATTTTTTTTTCAGGTAATTATGTACAAGAATGCATCCAAATTGTTCTTGTCCAATAGTGACTGGTTGTGCTCCCAAATCCTTTTATCAGTTAAGCACATACTTATTCATAATAAAAAATAATGAGAGATTGCATTTATTTAGCGTTTTAAATGGGGGTGGCGTTCTCCCCCCCATGAACGCTACACTGAATATGGCCACAGCCCCACCTGTTGCATGCGGTCAGATAAGGGGCTAGTGGCGGCTGGAGAACAAGAGTGATCTCTCCTTCTACCAGGACCACTCCTTGAAGACTTTTATCTCCTTTTAAGGATCTCTCCATATATGAATCCCCACTTTTGGTCACCCTCACATAGCTGGAGGACTTGCTTCTGAGAATGACAGCAAGCCTCCTGGTACATATCCTGGTTGTTCTTTAGTCATTTCAGTAGTGTCTGACTCTTTGTGGCCCCATTTGGGGTTTTCTTGGCAAAGACACTGAAATAGTTGGCTATTTCCTTCTCCAGCTCCTTTTACAGATGAGGAAACTGAGACAAACAGGGTAAGGTGACTTGCCCAAGGTCTCACAGTGAGTAAGTGTGTGAGGCCAGATTTGAACTCAGGAAGATGAGTCTTTCTGACTCCAGGTCTAGTGCCCTGTGCACTATGGCGCCACCGAGCTGCCCTCTAGGAAATACACATTCCCTAATATTAAGGAAAAAATCAGACCTATAATCTGTTACCTTCCAGAGTAATATGAGAAAAATATATTCTTTTCCAGGAAAATTCAATTTTTTAAAAAATGAAAGCTACTAAGGCAAATTGTCTTTTCCTAAATATCTGATAATGGCCTACCATAGCAATGAGTTTGCATTCTAACCGTAACCAAGGATGACCCTCTTGTACTAGTTAAATAGCAGAGGAGCATTAATATCAGTTTCTTGCCTTGCAAATTCTTAAAGTTGGTTTATTATTAAATATTGCTATAATAATATTTAATTATTAAATATTGAATATGATTTTTATTGATCTTCCAAGTTCTACGTGCACTTAATTCAACAAGTTGCTTAGCAAACATTTAAGTAACTACTATATGTTAGGCACCATGCTCAGTGCTGGAGAGAAAGAAAAAAAGGAAGAAAGAAAGAAAGACAGAGAGAGAGAAGGTAGGAAGGAAGGAAAGAAGGAAGAAAGAGACACAACCCCTACCCCCACGAAGTTAACCTTCTACTGGTGAGAATACAGCACACACACAGAAAATTCTAATACAAAGGAGAAAGTGAAGGGAGCAAAAGAGAGACCCAGAAAATGAGGGGGGCGACCTTTCAGCTACGACAGAGGCTTCTAAGCTTTCATGTTTCATAGCGCCCTTAGAGTCTCAGGAATTTTTTCACAGTGCTCCCAAACCCAACAAACAGATATATGTATATACGAATACACAGATATACATATATTCATGTGTGGATATATGCATATATGTATGTATGTATATACACACACATCTATCTATACATATAGATGTGTGTATATATACATATATAGATACTCTATGTGTGCGTGTATATACATATTATATATATATATACACATATTATATATATATATATATACACATACATACATATAAACATTTCTGCTTCTTAAGTAGTTTGGTTGGAAATGTAAACTCTCCCACGGGACAGCTGGGAGCCTTGGCTCAGTCTGGGAACCTCAGCACTAGTGGGGTCCAGGGAGGCTTCCTGGAGGAGGTGGCCCTTGTCATCCTATGTCTGACAGTCAATGCCTTCCAGCTTCCCTGTCCTTTGTTCTATGAGCCCATCTGTGACATTCCACCTTCTAAAGGCCTTCCCAGCTCAGATGGTCCACGTTCGGTGGTTTCTCACAGGGATTGCATTTTCTGTTCTGACGTGGTTCTTCCCAGCCCTGTTCTCCTCTGTTCTAAAGTCCCTCCCAGCCCTGTTCTCCTCTGTTCTAAAGTCCCTCCCAGCCCTGTTCTCCTCTGTTCTAAAGTCCCTCCCAGTTCAATCATATCAAAACAAGAGGGCTTCACTCACCCCCGAAAGCTTCCGTAATCGCCATGCTTTCGATTCCGCCACCCAGCAGCTTACTGAAAACAGAAAGCAAGCAAGCGTTAGGCAGTAAGGGAAGCAGAGAGCGTGACAAGAAGGGGTAGGAGCTAAGCCTGCAGAGGCTGGCACATCCACAGGCTGAGGGAAGCCTGGGCTGCCCCAAGCGTGGGCCGTGTTGTGTACGGATGGGCAGATGAACAACTGTCCCGGGGCCTGCGGACACTCCTTCCAAACCACAGACAGGAGCCTCTGGCGCACCCTTCTCTGGAGCCCCAACTGGTTGCTGGGCTGAAGTCACTTGGAGCTCAACGGGACTTTGCAGCTACCCTGCCCTGAAATCTACAGCATGCTTCCAAAAGTCAGCGAGTGTGCGAGTATTTTTAAAAATAAATACCCTAAAATCTGTGAGAAGCAAACGGCGTGCGTTACTAAGATTGAGTCTGAGCTCTGGACTCGGAGGGAAGAAACCAGGCCGAGAATGGGCTCCGCCGCTCAGCAGCTGAGAGACCCGGTGACCAAGTCTCTGATCTCTCCGAGCCTCAGGTTTCTCCTCTGCTAAAATGGGGGTGATGATTTTCCCACAGCTGAGCTCACCAGGACGTAAGGGGGTTCAGCTGGAAACTGGAGACCAAGTCCCCTGCAGCGGTGCAGCACAACTTAAATATAAGCTGGGATATCTCAGACAGACTAACGTCTGGGCTAAGCAGGTCGGCCTCTCTACTCAGGCCAGAGTCAGGTCATTTCAGATGGAAGAGTCCAGCCAACATCTGAAGAAGGCCCCCGCTATGGCAGGGGCGGCCTTGAAGACCCCCGTTGCCGGGGCTGCCTGCTCCACTTTCAGGCTGTTCTAATCATTAGCAAGTTTTTCCCAACACCGAACCTCAGTTTACTTCTTTACAACTTCGACCTATTCTCCCGTTCTGCCCTCTGGGTTCAAACTGAATAAGCACTGCCCATCTTCCACATAACTGCCTTCAAAGTCAATTCTATAATAATAATAAGTAACATCTCCACATCGTAACTAGTACTACCTTTAACGTTTGAAAAGCACTTTACAAGTATTCTCATTTGGTGCCACAGCAACCCTGGGAGGGAGGTACTAATATTATCTCCATTTTACAGATGAGGACACTGAGGCAAGCAGAAGTGAAGTGACTTGCTCAGGATCACGCAGCTAGTAAGTGTCTGAGGCTGGATTTGAACTCAGGTCTTCCTGACTCCAGGCCCAGAGCTCTGTCCACAGCGCCACCTACTGTCTCTAAAATAAAAAGAGGCGCTAAGCCTGTTGAGAGCATAAAGAGAAAATGGCTTAGACTCTTCAAAGTGTCTCCTTTCAATCTATTAACCTATTTTAAAAGCAAAAACCAAATTCCTTAAAACAAGCCACTTAAAAACTTGGTCTTTGAATTGGGAATAGAAGCAACAAGTCAAAGTGACTCTAAAAAGTCCTTTGAGATGAAAACCAGCCTGATTTTAGAACTACTCCTGCTGTCTTTGGGGTCCTGGATTTTGCTCAAACTGCCTGAGATCTCTACTTGGCTTTGGTGCCTGTTGCACATATCCTAGGCCCTTCTGGGGCAAGCATTTATGAAAGAAGTGGCCACAAGACAGAAGAAAGGAGACACATTCCGGCCCTCCCGGGATCAGGCCCTGCGGCTGGAGAGGAAGGAGAGGCGCACTCAAAGTCCTGGCTTCCAGTGGTGATGTGGAAAACCATCTTCCGCTTCTCACTGTACTCAAAGGCGGTCAGGAATCCCGGCTCCTGGGGAAAGAGGAGAGGAAACGCTCAGACAGGCTGCCCGGGGCCCCGCGTTACTGGTCGTCCACTGTATCATCTGGCCAAAGCTGCCAGATAAGGGCCGATGTTGGGATGTCCCAAGGGATACTATGCTAGCTAGAAAAACTTCAGCCCCGGCCATTCTGGGCAGCGGGGTAAAGAAAACAGGGAATAGCTCCATGATGGGCCACCCCAAGAAGCCATCCTCATCCTCACAGCGAACCAGAGGCGGTCCCGTGTGGTCGCCTTTCATCATCTCAAAGGACAAGGCTCCATTTGGTCAGTACAGACCACCCGGAGCACGGGAGGTGTGAGAGAGAGATGGGGTTGGTCTCATTAACTCTAGCCGTCCTACACTGTTCTTCAAATGACAGAGAAGGCCCATCCTCACACGCAATAATGGGGGAAACAATCCACTTTAACTCTATTTCACATGTGTAGACTAATCACCATTAACCAAGTCTTTTCCATGCTCTCATCTGGCAGTCTAGACTAGCAGCTGGTAATGTCCTTAGCCCTGGGAGAGCAGCACTGTCCATCAGATGCCACACAGAATGGTGGGAGGGAAAGCAAAAAAAAAAAGAGAGAGAAGAGAAAGAGAAAGGGATAAGGGGAAGAGCAAGCAAGGAGGAGAAAGAGAGACAAAGAGAAAGAAAGAGAGAGAGAGAGGAGAGATGGAGGGAAAGAGAGAGAAGAAGGGGAAGGGGGAGAGAGAGGAGGGAGAGAGAGAAGGAGGAGAGGGAGATACAGAGAGAAAGAAAGAGGAGAGAGGGAGGAGGAGAGAAAGAAGAAAGAAGACAGAGGGAGGAAAGGAGGTAAGACAGAGAGAAAGAGAGGAGAGAGGAAGGGAAAGAAAGAGAGAGAA